GGCTACGTGCTGCGTATGCCAGTCGACTGACTTCCTTGAAGGGATCTTTTCGCACAACCATATGAAGAGTGGAAACGAGCCAGAGGCGGTCAAACAATAACTTGGCAACGAAGTGTAAAAGCCATTACCAGCAAACTCAGCTGCGCTGGTCATTGCCGTCTTCCTGGATGGGGACCCCGAGACGGGCCACATGAATGGCTAGAGACATTGTTAGATATGGCCCAGACGCACCCTCAATGGCGTTCATGCATCCAAGCCTTCAATGCATAGCTACCTTCCTAATCCCCAACTTAACAGTCTGCTGAAAGTGCTATATTTACGCACCAATTTATCAGCTACCGCCTACACTGCACACCTACCTACCCACCTCCCCAAATCATCGGTGAATGAAACTGTGGCAGCTACAACCACTGTACGACAAGTACGTGGTTATTACAGCTGATAAGGATGATGATGGTAACTGTGGAACGTCAAATCATTCGCCCATGACAAGCGTCTCAGTCCTGTTAGGTGTTTTTCAGCTGTTAGTGGAAGGTCGTCACTAGGCACAGTAAGCACAAGAAATTGACCAATCCTAATAATCAGTTAAGCTGAAAACTCGGCCGATTTCGAACACCAATGAATCCGTAAAAAACGAAGATCTAGCCACGGCCAAATAATTTCGGAGTGGTTTACATTTTCAAATTAAGGCTGTTTACGGTTCAACTCACTTTATCCGTTGTACAAGTCGGATTCGATCCAGTTGACCTAAACTGAGTAAACCGACGCAATAAGCAGGTGTAATGCAACTGCTAAACTGCATTCCTTCCCTCAGGTAGGATAGAATATCCATACTCTGAAAAGCCCCACTGCATAGATAGAGGGCTGTGTGGAAATCACTAGGAGCGGGGAAAATTTGGATAGCATGAGGGATAATGAAAACATTCATATAGCAATGTAACTGGGTTCAACAGAAAGTTCATCTACAACCTTAAAAAAACAGAAAATGCCCCTTGAAAGCTGGAGTAGACATAACCAAAAACATTAGGCGTGAATATGATGAGGAGGAAAGTTTATGACGACATAGGTTCCCTCAGGCATAACTGAGCTCCTGGTTCGGATGACTATCAACCTGCATGATTCGAAGGTGCAAGTGAAGTCCTCCGTAAGTGCTTGTCAGCTCCCTTTGCCTGCATCTTGGAAATGGAGATTGTCTGCGACAGCTGGGGTGAATGGGTGATGGTGTCTATCTTCAAAAATGAGGCGTAAGAAGTGCGGTAATAACAGGGAGACCGGCTTCAGCCTAGCCGCAACGAGACTGTTGGCATCACCCCTTCTTCGTCGTCTTCTGGTGGCCCGTGAAGCATAAATTCAAGAGCAGCGGACAGGATGCCACCAAGGAAGGGTTAGAATTGACTACATTTTCACCATCCATCAGGTGCCAGAAGAACGCCAAACTTACATGTGATCCACACTTTTAGTATTTGCTGGTTTCCAAACCATAGTAAATTTTGTTGACCAGTCTGTTCTCCTTAAGAAGGGATGCTTCGCAGAGGATGCTCCAGAATTTTGCCAATAGACTAAGTAGGTCCCTTGTAATCTAAACCTGAGAGTATACGAGGAGCTCTCCAAAGGCTTCCGTACACAAACTGGTTTTCGACAAGTATTCCGACTCCTTCCATTCCTATTTAGTTTCTTAATCGAGAAGATTGTGAGACGATGGTAGAATGTCTTCAAAACTTCGGCGTTCAAATAGCTCCTGAGAAAAACCTTGTCTATCATGAATACGGTGGCGACATCCTCATCGTCTTCGAAGAGGGAAGGCGCCAGTGTTTTTGGATGACGTGGCCAAAGTCATCCCGTCCTTTGGCATATGATTTGCACCCACAAACTGTAGGGCCATGCTCACGGACATGCTATCACTGAACTTGCTACTTATGATCCAGGGAGACGCACCCGTAGTTTATAGGTGTTTTACGAAGTTTGGAAATTTTATAGCTTCCCGTTGTACTGTGACATGAGGTCAATGGACGAATCTATGGTGCTCGGGTCGGGTTTGCTAATTTGATACACATATATCGGCAAAGTGATGTATCTCTGAATCTCAAGGGACATACGGCAAAGTGATGTATCTCTGAATCTCAAGGGACATGTGTATCAGACTACACTACGAGCTGTTTTCCTGTACGTCTGAGGGAGGTGGCCTCTGTGATCACATTCAACTTTATTAGTGATGGAAGGAGGTTTCGGCGTGAAACACCATCCCACTTTTCGAGGAAGAGGCCAAAGTACCGTAGATAAACTGGTAAACTTGGTTTCATTGTTCATCAGGTAAAATAGAGCAATAAATAGGACATGAGATTACGGGTTAGTTCAGAAGTGAAGCGAGCTCCAATAACAGTGCCCCGAAAGAAATTAGTGAATTAAATCAAAACAGAATCTCACCGAAAACCAAAGAAACGTGTACAGCCTCCCACAATGTGGTCAAAAACAACAAATTCTGAGACTGTTTTTTTGAACATGGCAAGCCACATTAAAAATGAACTGAACGTCAACGATGGAAAGCGTGTGTCACCATAAAGGGCTTTTCGCCGGCACATTAAGCAACTTCGCTAAGGGGGGATGGTGGTAGCCACCAAGTATGGTGTATTTCTATCCTAGCTGCACAATAGCACAGGCCGCCAGAGGGGTAAATTCTGGATCATAACACCCTTTCGCTGGCTAGCTGCCATGCAACCCGAAGGAATTACGAGAGCTGAGATACTGCCAAGTTTCCCGAGCCTAAATACGAGCGGTCAGGATGCAGAGGTTAGGTTCGAACCACGGACGCTCTGCTCAGTAAGTTCGCGCCTTAACCACTGAGCTATCTCGAGAGCTCAGTCTACAAGTGCCCGCCACAGTAACCATTGAAAATTAAGTATTCTGCATGATGTGGTTCTAACGCAAAAACAAAACGCTGTCAAACAGTACGATGGATTTGCCTTGATGGAAGAAGTAATGTGTAATGCCGAGTTTCACACGAGGAAGCCGGAACCCCTCATCATACAACTCGAGAACATGAACGCAAACTCAGTTCCCGGAACGATTGGCAGACCGCACAACATTAGACGAAACAATGAATAGAGGTCGGAACCATCAACAACTATGCGCAAAACAACATTGGCTTACAACTTAGGTCTCCAGTTTAATTTGTGTCTCACAAATGACACAATGTGCGAAGCATCGTCGGATGAAATGAAGTACTTCATTGTGTAGAGAGTCAAGGTCAAAGTGAGATGATGAACCAAAATGAAGAGAATTCAGTCAATTGCTTGTACTATTAAGCAAGGATAACAAAAATTTCGGGAACTGTATTCTGACCGAGCAGATAGATGAATGTTCATTGTACTTCTGAGAAGCCAAGATAGTCAGCTTAGAGAGAAGAGTCCATTGTTTAATTTGGCGGTATTGTACGCAATCCCTTACGGCTAAAACAGTTACACGGAAGCAGCGTAAGATATTAAAAGTATCACAGAAGATAGGAATCCGTCAGGATGCTTACCCATATGGGCCAGGGAGTAGCATAACCATACCAGAGTAATTCCCCGCAAGACAACTGAGGGATACATTTCGAAAATCGTTCAACGGATTAGAGACCTTTACCTTTAGTTCTTCTGATCATCCAGTGAAATTGTAACTCATGGATATTTCAGACAGTACTTTTGAAAGCATAACCAGTAGTAAAGAATATCTGATATCAGGTGGGACTGGGATATCATTCTTCTTAAAGGAAGGCCTAAACTCTCTCAAAATTTTCCTCGCCCACCTGACTTAGTAGGTATTTCCCTTACTCCTGCTCAGAGGGACAGTTCACCTTCCGCCCATCTTGCATAGAACACCTTCAAGACATCAGTTCACCACAATTTCTTTCAGCTCCTAGGGTTGAATTGAGTAGTTCATACTGTGAAGACTCCAACGATGACAATTTTTCGGTGACCCAACTGGCAACCCAAAGAAGTTTGTTACTGGTGAAACGCTACACTGTCCTTGCTGTATGTGGCAGCCTAACAGCGGCTTGTGCACCCAGGTCTTCTTCTGTGGTGCTTTGGCCTTGTTGTGTTCTTCGTGAGCGGGTGAAAATAAATGAAAGCATCGGATTTTAGGTCAGGATGACAATTCATCGAGGCCCACCAAAGAGAATCGATGCGGGCCGAAAACACAGAGCCGAAGAAATGCGGTGATAGGATTTCGCGTACGCTGTCGCCTCAGAATAGGTTTTCATTTTGAAACTTGGAGGTAATAAACCCATACCCTGTTAGCTTGCTCGCAGCCCAATGCACCATAATGAAGCTGTCAACTAAAAACTACGGGATTTACTCAAGATAGATAATGACCAGGCATAGCATGTACGCCAGAAACGAAAATGCAAAGCATTTAAGTACTTTTAGACAATCTGAGAGGGACTGTTACCTTACAAGCATTTGGAAAACGTTGCTAGTTTCGACAAAATATCATAAACCTTTTTCGAGGAGCAAATTCACTTACAATGAAGTTTTCTGGCTGGATTTTGGGCAGTGGACAAATAGATGTGTCGTCTTGGTGACAAAAAGTGAGTATATATTACACGAAGCTTTGGATTGGTTTGCTCCAAATGCTGGATTGCCGGGCAAAGTGTATCTCGCCAAGACAAATAGTTTTCCTCCGGCGGCGAACTTTCATGGAAGCTACCCAGTGCAAGGACATTTTCAGCATGGAATCCAGAAACATGGATGTGTCCACAGGACAGTTCGACGTGTTGAATGTTTCCGGTTTATCAGTTTACCTGCCAATCTGGTGGCTACAGTGCATGTTTGGAAGCTTCGCCTGTGTTTCCACATAAAAACCCACTGAATGTATGTGATATATTATATCATATATGAAATATATAGTATGCTGTTAACCGTGAAACAGTAGACCCAGATTGGGAAGCCTAATCAGACATCGGTAGTTTTTTAGGAGAGCAAAGTAAAGGATCACTCAGAAAAGCCAATAGTTTTACTTACCCTTGAGAGACTAAACAATGCACCGAAGATTCCGATTTTCATTAGGACTGGACCAATAGCCAATACTCGTTTGGAAGACAGATGTCGGAACTGTAAGGCAACAGTTGAGATTACGTTTAAGGCACCCATGAAGAGGTTTGTTGCACAATGTCTAACAAGGAAAACCGGGCCCAGTAACACCGCATAAACTCAACATTCGTGCATGCATAAATTCAATCGGGATAGTGTCAACAAAACAGCCCAAAACCCAATAAGGAATAAACGTGAATTTGAGGAGACATTATACCTAAATGAGAAATAAACTTTCAGGAGCGAACAACCGCGGAGTACCCAAGCGCCAGAAGCCAGAGAAGAACCAAACAGCCGCCACTCAAACCGCAAAACTCTGGAACGCACACTTCAAGCCAAAGATGAATCGGCAAGTCAGAAGAACAACAGAATGACAGGTAGAGATTGCATCAAAGAAAAAGCCATCTTATGAACCGCAACGCAACGGAAACGGCTAACCGACCACCAAAATCGAAGACCGTTAAAAAATATGTGTTCGATCGACCAATTACATTAAATGAGGACTTTTGGAAGGTGAAACACGACAAAGGCTAAGTGGACCAGTCGGACTGAAGGGGTGTCATCCAACGAACTAACCAGACGAGAAATAATCTGACCGCAACGCAACTCAAATCCCGAGGGGACCAATCAAACCAAACACTAGTTAACCAAACAGAGCGCGGATATCAACTACCCATTAGAAACGGCATAAACGCAGGCAGAAGCGAAGGAATTACTCTCCTAATCACATAGTGACGACGTCCCTCCGCATAGTGACGAAACATTTGCAAGTCGATTCGCAAGCTCGGTGAAAACATCAACTACCTCCTGGTCAATAGGCAACATCCTGTAATCAATACGTGGCAGGAAGATTACAGCATATCGCTCCAGTTGAAACACCCTCATTGTGACTTAAGACTTCTACTCCGAACAGTTATACAAATACAGTAGGGAAGCAATGACAAATACATTTATCTGGGGCATGATTCCCGGTGCGACCTATGACACCAGTAATTGACGAGCTGGGATGACAATAAGATTCAAGCCCACGATATTGCCTGATTGAAACGAGCCTTTTGAACTGTTAGCATTGGGGCACCAACGCCCCAGTAATGGAATTTCTGGAATGGAGCGAAAGGTCAGCGACAAGATAAATAGAGCGCGCGCCAGAGCAGCAAATGCAAAGCGGTGATTTTGAGGAGAGGCGTACAACTGGCTACATCCATGAATATCAAATTGCCGTCGATACGCCTCATACCTTCAGAAAGGTGATTTCTGCATGAGGAGATAGTGGTGAATGACAGGCAACAGTTATAGCCAACTTCCGTTTATGGATGCTATCATAAGACAACGGATGTGACAGGAAATTATTGCCGTCTGTGAGGTTCATGGTTGTTTACTAACGACATTGAAATCTAGAGTGGAGGACGACTGAGTCCCTTAAATAAAGCTTTTGGTCAGAAAGGCTGGTCGAAAGAAAACGGTTGTTAGGCTAAGACAACTGAAGTAGCATGACTCTTAGGGGACAAGTTATCGCACGTGTTCCAACCCAAGAGCTGGAGGCTACATTAGTCAGACAGTCTGTAAACGTCAAAGACACGGTCTTATTGGGGCACGGACGTACAGACTGTCAGGTCCAACCTGGCCGTAAACAATAAAGTAGCAATCAAAACTAAATACACCCCATTCGTAAATTGCATTCATGTTAGCGAGAACCTCTTATCTGCGATGGACCCCAAGGGCGAAACCGATAGTAGACTGTCAAGGGGATTTCAGCAACCTCATGAATAGTGCGCTCTGTCGAGAAAGTCATTATACCTACCTATCAAAAAGGCGCCAAAACGAATGCATATGTTTAAATTAATCCAACGTTCATGCTGGGCCACAGATAAAGGAAATTATAAGGAGGTAAGCTTACTACACGGATTAGCAGGCGACTGCACACATTCGAACCATGCCAGGATTTGGCACAACGTTGAGCCCACCGGCGGAAGTTCATCCACAGGAGATTTGTTAATAAAAGCGCGCAGCATGGTGAAGCGAACGGGAAAAGGTTCCCTGCCTGCGACAGCGACGTACAGATCAAACCGAACAGGCCGGCGAAAGAGAATATAAGACACTGAAATGAAAGGAATGGGGTGATCTACTGCTGTGGAGTGGAAAAACAAGATCACAGTAAAACACATTTGACGGCTATTAATAACGCGTACACCGAGAACGTGGTACATTCAGACAGAAATGAACAAATCAAGATAAGCACGTGCCGACAAATGCTCTTCTAGATAGCCTTTTTTGAATTCACATGACGCAGCGGCCCCCTGCGAATGAATGTGAAGAGCACAGCTATCAATAGCTGAATATCACAATACTGATCGAAAGGAATAAGTAAATAAAAAATTAATAGCTCTACTGTAGCCCCTTTCGGTGCCTAGTTACCATGCCAACGGATGGCTGAGACACTGCTAGGTTGCCCAAGCCTACACGGGACCAATCGAGATACCGTGGTCGAATAAGTATTCCGCCGTAAAAAGTGCAACAGTACCTGGTCCGTTTTAGTGGTGGAAACTGTCCAGCAAAGAGAACATTGTAAGCTGGCGCTTCGCTCACCGATAGGTAACAGTTACAATCCTTAAATAACTCCTTAAATGTGAAAACGTCGAAAGTCAAATAAAATAATAAATAAGCAACCAATCGTCCAACTGTAACACCTTTTCGGTACATAGCTGCCAAATGATGCCTGTTGAAAACGTTTCATGCACGCAAACATTTCATCACCAAACGAGGAGACAGAAGGAACATGAGATGACAGACGATGTGGCTCCGAACGATGACAAGGCGTTTCCAGGATGACTTCCAAGCTCAGAGAACAAATCAACAGCCAACTGGTCAACAAGCACCAGATACACTTTGCAAATCAGTGGAATCTAATCAGTTATTATACTATCAACGTCTCATTTACAAGCTCACATTTCACATCAATATTAGACGTCGAAATATCAGCTCCTTATGCCGACTCCGCCTCAAGTGGACGCTGACTGAAACATTTTCGCTGCAGAAGCCGGTTATCCAGACTATTGTATCAGTCGTTTCAGTTGTCGACACAATACCCAGCGCGATTCCTGCATTCCAGTTCGATCTAATCTAATGCATTCAGAAAGCATGAAAACTTTTTCAGAGTCGGCCTGTGAGACAGTGAAGATTCCTGGAAAGCAAGACAACTAGCAATGTTGTGAAATGTAGGTAGTTTGGGTGCGCTGCTCGGTTGTTGGTCTGTTCGCCGAGCTTGGCAGTTGGATTGCAAACGTTTCATCACCCACTCAACCCTGCACTGACGATGTCACCTCGATTGGTGATGAAACGTTTGCAATCCAACTGCCAAGCTCGGCGAACAGACCAACAACCAAGCAAGAGAACTGATCAGGAAAATCGGAGTTACCGAAGGTGAACGCTTTACGAACTACACTTTGCCCAAAAAACAAGTGAGCTGTTTGATGAAAATGTTTCCATCCTTTCTTCAATATTTACTGAACAGGCTTCCTCGTTCAGTCATCGAAATCAATGTGAACAAAAAATGCTGTAGAAGATTGGATTACGTATGCAGACAAAGCCAACAAGGAGTGTGAACGGTTCAAACTCCGAAACATGACAGAGGATGAGTTTGAATGTCTTATATTTGTGTGATGGTTGCAGTCCTATGAAGACACATGTAAGAAAAATTATTCTCGACAAGATTGAGCGGAATCCTGGTGTCACGTTGCAGGATATTATATTTCAATGCCAAGCACGATGCGTCCATGATACAAGAGAATGGTCCCGGCAGTGCTGTTCACTCAGTGATGCAGAATGCTGTTCATCAGAGTGACAAGAACACTTTCAGCATGCTGGAAATGTGGTGAACGGTATTTCTTCAGCTTCTGTCCGCTCGGAAAACGCTGCTGCAGCAGATGTTCCCGCATTGGATACAAAAAGGATCGGCGTCACAGCAAGCAAAAGCAACCATTCAAGACATTTTCGAAGCAGATTTTCTAATTCCAAGTTTCCCAAGGCTCGTGTTGATTTAGCCACATACCGACGGAAGAAAATATGTATCCGTGTATATCAACAACTAGTATGTCCGTCCCCATTTGGGCACGGCATCAGACATCACCACGATTTCAAAAAGAACTTGGAAACTTTTTGGCAGTTCGGCATTAATCAAATGCACACAAGTAGCACAGTGCATCCGGCAATTTACTGAAACTCTATTGTGAGTTCAACCGATTCACTGCTTTTGACGATTTCACTGTAAGTGGCATTTATCGTGTCTGATTATCCTGGCTTGGATTTGTTAGGATTAGACTGGGTTGACAAACTCAACCATTTGGACAGGCTACTCAACAATATACGTTACAAGATACGGGCGAAGAAACCGAACATAATCCAAAAGCAATCTAAGTTGTTCTGGAAGAAGTATTCGAGCGTGTTTGCTGACGGTCTCGGTCTGTGCAATTAGTCGCCGCTGTACCACCCTCAGTCAAAGAGATAAGCCGAAAGATTTAATACCTCTAAAAGAGCTCTGCTGAAATATCGGAAGGGCCAATGGACGATGTCATTAATGCTTTCTTACCAAATACTGGACGACACTGAACCCAAGTAAGCCAAACGGGATGTCTCCAGCTGAAGTTATGTTTAAGAGGAAAGTGAAGAAACTGCGGCCCGGTACCACTAGAGAGACCGGCGGCGAACACCAAACAGAAAAATTCATCACTAACTGTGGAACTAGGTGTATTTAAAGCCATGGAGGCTTTGTTTTTTGTCAGAACTACCCAGCCAATCGTTGGAGTCTGGGAGTGATATTGCGACGAAGAGGAAACGTTGTCCATGAATTAGATGTTGCGGAGTGGTGTAGATTCGGCACTGCGTTTGACCCAAAGTCATCCAGGAAGGAAAAACGAATTAACCGTTTGATTTTCTCTTTGAAACGTTCGAGATTCAACTGAAGAATGTGTCAACGGAACTAGACATTGACGTCAACCCACCTTCGTTGCAAACAATTGTGCGAC